TTATTATTATTATTATTATTTAGGGTGAACATTTATGCAGTCCGAACGACGTGTTTTCTATAGTATCCATACGATGTGGGGAACTCTGTGCCACCACTTTCCAAAGAGGAAATTTACTCGTCAATCCGATCCGTACGCTTTGCATAGCAGTCTGTCAAAATGATTTTTTGAGTTTCTTAGAGATCTTCGCACTTGAAGCATTCTAAAATGCGAAAAATACAACCCTGGGGGCACGGATAGGCTTAAAGCAAGACGCAATGTCACCACCGTACGCTGTACTGTAAATACCTTCAGTTTCGCGCGTTTTGTAGAGTACCTTTTTCCGGCTTCACTTAGCTGGAATACACGCGTACAAAATGTGTGTGAGTGAGTGACAGTGTGTGCGTGAGTGAGTGACAGTGTGTGCGTGAGTTAGTGACAGTGTGCCACCTTCCTCTTGTCTCACTTCCGTGCTGATGAGCAGGGGCTTAAGTGCTCAGTGTTGACAGAGAGAGCCAGTGTGAGGCAGCGTGATGGAATCAGGCTCTCGTCAAAATAATCTAAGTGAAGAAACTTGCTTTTTTCTGTTGGTTTGTGAATTTTTTCAATTTTTTTTTTCTCAACACCTTTCATACCTATTAAAGAAGTCATTTCTGTGTGGATTTTTCTGAAAAACGTTGATTAAAGGCACAAAAAATGTAAATTTTCAGTTACCACGGACTCTTAAGCTAAGGAAATAACTAATCTTTGGCGGCCATTTTCTCACTAATTTTACCTCTGAAAACAGGTGACACTCACCTCCTTCATTCTCAAATATCTCGACTTTTATTCAAGATAAATGGATATTTTTTTCATCCAAATAAAGACAAGTGAACAAGCTTTACGATGATACCAATAACTCTACATGCCCAAAAATTGACGAGAGCCTGATTCCTCCACGATGCCTCACATGTGTTATCTCTGGGACTCAAGCAACTACATTTTTTGTTTTTCTAAAAAACATAACTGCACGAAAATCAGGTTAATTATTCACACTGCTCTGCAACTATTTAATACATCTTAATAACGTAGTTGCCATCTGTTTCTGTCTCGAGTTTTTGTATGAAAATACAGTTGATACTGAGCTACGTTTGAATTACAAAGTTTTATCTACCATTTTGACAGCTTTTTAGTTCCTACGACCATGAGGTCAGAAACCAAGACGTTCTATCTGCTCCATCAAACTCCTAAGGTCATTTTGTTTTTTTGTTTTTGTTGAGTGTTTTACGGCGCTCGCAACTGCATAAGGTCATATGAGCGCGCGGGACACTCCTAATATTTTCAGTTGGTAGGAAATTTTGAATTTTGCCCAGGTGTTGGCCGAAGCCTACTCTTAGCGATT